GAAGTCATAATACCTGTACTGTCGGCACAGCCCTATCATAACCCGGATGTTCCCTACTTTGAAGGCGCCCCCAATTACCCACACGTCCAGCTGCACGCCTACGACGAGGACTCTGAACGTGTTGTCCCAAACGCCAGGCCTCCACACAGACAGGATGGAGGGGACAGACGTATGGCCAGTGAAGAGCCCGACTATTACTACGACCCGATTCCCCAATACAATGAACAGTCAGACCAGAGACAACCCGAGGGAAAGCCTAAAAAGTTATATAAAGCTATCGAAAGGGTTTACTTCTACCCTCAGGACGAGTCAAACCACGAGCCGACCAAAAACAAGGACGCCATGAATCTGATGAAGAAGGAGTTTATGCCCGACACATATGAGCCCTATTACAACGAAGACGATCCCAACGATCGCGTCGACCCTCACGAAGAAATGCATGATTTTCAACGAAAAGATCACAAACAGATGGATAGAAATCCTCCCAATAATGATAATGAGCCACGAGTTGAGCCAAATAATGAAGAGTTTTATGACGCGGAACAGGACGACAGGATGCAAAAGAGTATCTCAGATGACGTCAAAGACTTTGGCACAGAAGCGATCGATGAGACGAAGAGATTTGACAAATTTCTGGACAATTTGAGAAATTTCGAGGCAAACAGTGAGAAGGAGTACTCGTCTCCCAATGAAAGAGAAGATCAAAATATCGAGAACAGCGAAGAGCTCGATATGAAGGACATCAACGAAGGAACTAATTTCGGTGACCGAATAGAACTGAATCCAACGTATTCCGAGTCTTTGGCCGCACAGACAGCCGATGACGACAGGACTAAAGAGTACGACAGAGGGGGCAGTGATTACGGAAATGCCGACGAATACGACGCGGAGAGGAAGTCGTATGAAAATAATCAAAGAGAACAACAAAGAGATGATCAGCGAAGAGATGGAAACCAAAGAGCCGGACGAGAGGGCCATCGGTATCACAAAGACAGGCGAAGACCGCGAAAACCAGTTGTGAATCCGGACGAAAATTATGAACAGCGCAACCATGAAGTGAGCGGTTTGATTGACGCCGAACCCGATGAGAGCGACTATCTCTCCAACTATGATGTCGTCAAACAGATGAAGAACTCCGAACACAAGTACAATACAGGTGTGGATCCCATATACTCCTCTAAGAGAGACTTCGATGAAGTGAAACGATTAGAGAAAATGATTGAAAACGTGGCGCTTCTTAACAAACAGAAAGAAATGAAGGCATCGGAAGATCACGAGACCAATAGTGGTAACGATAATACAGATAATAGCGAAGTCAGCGAAACAAAGATTGAAAACGTGAAAACAAAGTCCAAAAGCAAACCTAAAAACACTTAATTTCATTGTAATATCAATTTGTTTATGAATTGAATAATTATTTATATTTTAGTTTAAAATTACATTTAATAAAATATGTGTTTATAATAATAGTCGTAATGAGGGTCTGAATTGTAGACCAAAAACGTCCGATACTTTTCATATTTTGTTAATAGATTTGTTAATAAACATTAAAATTATTTATATTACTATTTGGAATATTATAATTTAATTTATAATTAATTTAAAATGCAAAAATGCACTTTTAAATTTTAAATTTACCTTTAAATTATCATAACATTAATAAAGGTTAATTTGTATAATTTAAAAATCAAATTAAACAAAATTTTCTTATATAAATCACAAGATTTTTATTTTATTTCATGTTAACCGAGATATAAATGTATTTAATTATTATATTTAAATCTAATGTAAAACTAAATCTAATATATAGTGATTCGATAGGTTTTCTTAGATATAAAAATATAACTAAATTTTTATTCTTAAAACACTGTTTAAAACTTGTGAATAACTTTAATAATAATAAAAAAGAAATTGCAAAAATAAGATAATTACAAAATTTGGTTATAAAATGATTGCATTAATAGTTATTATAAGTTATTTATATAAAAATGAATCAATAAGTCGACAAATAAAAATAAAAAGTCAACACATATTTGATGAAAAGTTTTTGGAACCAAAAGTGATCTCAACTTTCAATGCCATCGAAATGCTGTTTATCGAGAGAATCATTGCTCGAAGAGTGCAATAAATCCGAGTACTCGTCAAACTGTCTTTGCTTTCGGCGGACATTCCAGTGAAGACATTCGGCCAATGAGTCGAACCAATCGCTGATCTGATCCTCGGCACAGATGGACGGCACCGGGAATATAGAGGTCGTCACTCGCAGACTGGCAAACAATTATAAAGTTAATACTTTGTAAAATAATCAAAAGTCAAGTGTTTGCAAACCTGTCCCCGAGTTGTATCTCTTGCCGATTGCGGCCATCAAACGAAACCCACGCCGAGTTGCGTGAGTCGGGCGACACACATATCTTGAGCTCAACTCCTGCGGGAACTACGATCGGACGGAATGATAGAGAGTGCGGGCAAATGGGTGTAACCATAATGGCGGGTACGCTCGGGTGGATCATTGAGGCTCCGGCCGCTACAGCGTAAGCGGTACTCCCGGTGGGCGTCGAGACGATGAGTCCGTCGCCCTGAACTGTCGTGATATGTTTGCCATCGATGTATAGATCAATGTTTGACAAATAAGGCGATGGCCCGCGATCTACAACCA